TTGAATGCTAATGCAATTTGATCTGTTCCATTATGCATTTCGGCACATACTAGGGTAAGTGAGCCAGTTATGGCACTAGTGTTCCAGTTATTGGATATTTCCATGGTTTTATTTCATTGGATATATGGCAAAATCTATGTATCGAAATAAATTTGTTGAAAATGAAAATATGTGAAATTTAAGATAGGGGTAATTACCCGAGCAAAGTAGAATAACAACCCGATATCATATAGATAACAAGTCTTGTTATCCCAGATATCATTTTGTTTTCAGTTGTTATCGCATAACTTATTTAGTTATCAGTCTTGATCAATTTTGTTATCAGTTGTTATCCTGGAAAAAACACTATATATTTATTAACGATGCAAGGTTAGTTCAAAACTTTGAATATTATTCGCATTGAAACAATACAAAATAGTGCTTTTAATCCCTAATCATATTTCAGTTATCAGCGTATGGCTTTGATATCAAAATGATAACATGATTTGAAATTTATGGAATAAATTTGTATGGCATACAGAATTTGTTATCAAGATATTATCAATGATAACAAAATTAGTTATTTTTGTGATATCCAACGAGCTATTTTTTGTTATCATTTTTGTTATGTTGGCTGTTAATTCAACCAGAATGATAACATATTCAGTTATCAAAAAGTGATAACCGGGTAATAGAACTTGTTATCAATTTGATATTTTACTTTGCTCGGGTAGAGAACCACTAGGTCCATAAACTGGCACACTTACCCTAGTTGATGCACACTTCTCCCATGGTACCATGACCATCGGGATGTGGCCAATACTTTCCTGAGTTCTCATAATGACCTGCCAAAATCATACAATATTTTTTTCAATTTTTTTTTTGTTTTATGTAGAGACATAAAATTTACATATTCTGCAAAATATTGGATCATTATTAATGTTCAAAAAATAATAATTATTTCTTTAATAAGAATTTAACGCAAAATACTGGTTTTATAAGCAAAATGCTTTATTTATTGACTAAAACACAATTACAATCCTTGAGGTGTCCGTCGTACCCCGAGTTCTCCTACTGATATTCAGTAATTCGTATATAAAATTGTTTGAAGATTTGTATTCATATTTAACTTTGTAAATTTAGAAAAGTCATTACAACCCAACTAGCTGCTCTAGAGTTAAGTGGGTCAAGAGTACGCATTCAGTTTTAAAATTCATGTATCTTTTTTAGGGGCCTCCCTTAGCTCAGTCGGTAAAGGCGCAGCTACAAAGCAAGACCATGCTGGAGGTGGCTGGGTTCAATTCCCGGTCCGGTCTAGGAATTTTTTGGGGTTGGTAAATTTCTCGACTTCCCTGGGCATAGAAGTATGATTGTACTTGCCACACAATTATACCAATGCAAAAATGGTACAGGCATCGAAAGCTCTCAATTAATAACTGTGGAAGTGCATCTAGAACACTAAGTTGCGAGCACGCAATAAGCTAATATGCGATTTGCAATAAGCTTGAAATGCGAAGAAGAAGAAAGAAGTATCTTTTTTACCGTAACATCAAATTTTAGTTTAAGAGTCGATTCCTTGAATATTTGGCCACAATCCCTTATGGATAGCTATTAGAAAAATTATGGCATTCATCTTAAATTGTTGATTAAGTAAGAGGGTTCCCACTGCGTACTTTTGCCTCACTTGTGGGGCAAGAGTGCGCATTTTATTAAATGTTTCTCAAATGTCTGTTTTAATCGAATGAATGCTTTCTAAATTAATAAAAAATCAAAATTGGACCTTAGTTCGTCATATTATGTGTATGACCTCATCTGTTTTCTTTGTTCAAATGTTGAAAGTTAGCGATTTTTTAGTGGTAGAAATTTACATAAAATTATGCAAATCAGATGTAACTAATATTTTCTGTAATATTATTGCACTAAATCCTACTAATTGAAGATAAAAACAGATTCTGTCATAATTTTTTTAAATCGAAACGATATGTCCACCACTCAATTCATTCGTACTCTTGCCCCACTCGAAGTCGCTAATGAAAAGCGTCTCTCATATTATTTTTTTAACGCTTTATTTGTTCCAAATTCAAAATAAATTGCATTTCATTTTAACCTAGGTGCTCCAGTTACTACAGTAACTTACCAGTCTTTATTGTTATGATATATATCAAAGTGTTTTTACATTGTTCCTGCCATGGCAATTCAGTATTTTAAACAGGTTTTATAACAATTAAAATCTTAAAACTAAATCTTTTCCAAGTAAAAGGGAATTAATCGATGCAATTGAGGATTTTATTTTGTTGGACATTTGTTCTAAAGTCTCAACAAACGAAATTCTATGCACCTCGGTAGTACTATACCAGGGAGGCAACTTCAAAATCATCTTCAGAACTTTGTTCTGAATCCTTTGAAGTGCTTTTTTCCTGGTAGTGCAACAACTAGACCATATTGGCACAGCGTAAAGCATGGCCGGTCTAAAAACTTGTTTAAATATTTCCTGTTTATAAGAGGATGCAAAAATTTTATATATTTGTTACATTTGGCTTGAATGCTCTCAATGTAATCTTTAAAAGTAAATTTTTGGTCAAGTGCTAATCCAAGATATTTCACTTGGTTTGACCAGACAATTGGAACTCCGTTCATAGTGACTATGTGACTACTACTAGGTTTCAAAAACGAAGCTCTAGGCTTATGTGGAAATATTATAAGTTGAGTTTTGGAAGCGTTAATCTTCCATTTTTGTAAATAAGAAGAGAAAATATCTAAACTTTTCTGCAGTCTGCTGCAAATAACACGAAGACTTCTTCCCTTAGCGGAAATGCCTGTGTCATCAGCGAACAAAGATTTATGGCAGCCCTGAGGCAAATAAGGGAGCTCCGAAGTGAAATGTTATACAATATAGGCCCAAGAATGCTACCCTTAGGACCTCCTGCTCTAACAGATTTTGAATTTTGATAATTTACCTGCAGAGTTCTGTTAGTTAAATTATTTTGAACTAATTCCATAATATAGAGTGGAAAATTAAACCTTTTTCAATTTAGCAATCAAACCTTCATGCCAAACACTGTCGAATGCTTTTTCTATGTCTCTTTTCTATGCTCCAGTTGAGTGGCCTTCAGATTTGTTTGAACGAATTAAATTGGCAACTCTTAAGAGTTGATGAGTAGTTGAATGCCCATGGCGAAATCCAAACTGCTCATCTGCAAAAATTGAGTTCGTATTGATGTGAAGCATAATTCTATTTAAAATAATCTTTTCAAAAAGTTTACTTATTGAAGAAAGTAAACTTATTGGACGGTAGCGAGAAGTTTCAGCTGAAGTTTTATCCGGCTTCAAAATTGGAACAACTTTTGCATTTTTCCATTTATCAGAAAAGTATGCCAAATGGAAACATCTGTTAAATAATTTTACCGCGAATGACATGGTACTCTTTGGGACTTTTTTGATGAGGATATAGAAAATTCCATCATCACCTGGAGCTTTCATAATATTAAACTTTTTAGTTATAGATCTTACTTCGTCTGAATCAGTCCCTCAGGAATCATCAAAAATATTTTCCCGAGAGCAAATATTCAGATAATCCCGAGAAACCTGATTCTCAATAGGACTAGTAAGACCCAAACTGAAATTATAGGAACTCTCAAATTGCTTAGCAAGCGCTGGAATAGGCTTTTGATGTTTTTTTTTTCAAATTTTTTGTGAGTTTCCAAAAAGGTTTGGAACTCGGGTCTAATTTAGAAACTTCCTAAGTCAAAATTATCAAAATTTCCGTTAGAATTACGTTGGCTAGTATTTTGATTTCTACCCGCTGCAATAGCAGCATAGGTAGCTCCATTTACTCGCTGAATATTGTTAGCAGCGAGTGGAGTAGGTATAGATGAAGAATTTGAAGCAGGGATGATATTTGTACCTATGGGTACGAATGTAGAATTTGGTCCTCGCTGACAGCAGCGGAATTTGTACCTGGTCGGAAACGTGGAGCGTTTCCTACCTGTCGGTTAGAACGAGATTGTAGGATCACTATGCGAGTCACACCAGAAATTGGATTTGTGGTTTTCACCACAATTTGAACATTAAAATTTCTTAGGATCTTCCTTCACAGAACAGTCTTCCTTTGCGTGAGAGGCATCACCACAATTCATGCATTTAGCTGGCATGTAGCAATTTTTAGCTCCGTGACCAAATCCCTGGCACTTACGGCACTGGGTGAGGTTTTAGAAATTCCCTCCAGTCTTCCTGAAGTGTTCCCACTTCACTCGGACATGGAGCATAAGGCTAGCTTTTTCCAAGGCCTTAAGGTTGTTTAGTTCACTAGACTTGAAGTGAACTAAATAAAAATTTAGGGTCCAAACAAGGATCGAAGAGGAATAAGAGTTGAAAAAGGTAGAAATTTTACAGATTGAGCACTGGAAAGTGCTGTTTAAATTTGTTATAGCTTTAGGTAGTAGTAACACTTCCTTCAGCAAAAAAACAAATAGATCCGCACGGCAAGAGAGCACGATGTGGACTGAGCGTATCCCATAAATTACTTCTTTCCTATATCGTCTGCTGATTGTATTCATAGCTATCATATAGATCAATCATAATACTGGAATACTTAAGTTATAATCTTCAAAAAATCAGTCATTTTTGGCAGTTGAGTGTTGATTGTAAGTTTGCTGATCATTCAGTAAACTTATTATTACTGAACTGATTCCCAGCTGTTTGAAAGTCAGTAAAACCGTCAGTAAACAGTAGACCTTCTCAAACTAGTACCGACAACCTTAAAAAAACAGGTTGTGTAGGTGTTTCGTACTGCTGAAGAGGGCTGACAATTGTCTGATTAGATGGTGGAAAGAGGTAGAAAGTAATACTCGATAGATTAAAAAAATACCGTTTGCTTCATTGCCGGTCAATGATAACATAAATATTCAATGTGATTAATTAAGATCACAACATGTGAAGTAAGATGTATATATGCAATAGATACTCAATATGAAATAAAAATACAAGATCGATAAAAAAAAATTGTTCAATTCTCTTTACAGGCGTTATGATGACGATGACGATCGAGTATGGGATTGCGGAGCATGGTTTGAATATATTCTAGTGGTTGTAGTATCTTCAATACTACTCATTGCTGCATCCGTATTGACCATTTTCTGGGTAATATACTACCGTAAAGGTTTCAGCATGGATGACCCGAAGCTACAATTTAATCTACATCCAGTTCTAATGGTTGGTGGTTACATCACACTCTCCGGATTTTGTAAGCTTCATAATTATACTGCTCGCATTGTTCGAACTAACATTTCATCTCTTTAATTGCAGCCATTTTATTGTATCGTATTTGCCGTTGTTGTTCACACTTAATTGTAAAACTGTGTCATACATTTTTCCATGCATGTTCCATTCCATGCATCGTCATCGGTTTCCTAGCTGTTTGGGATTCTCACAACCAGACACAAACGCCCAACTTCTACTCGTTGCACTCTTGGCTTGGTTGCATCACCATGGGACTTTTCGCTCTACAGTTTGTTCTGGGATTCTTCAGGTACATGTTGAAAAATCATGGCGCTAAATCCGTTTACTTAACCGATGCTTTATATTTTAGTTTTCTCATCCTTCTATGCTGTGAAAATGCGACATACAAGTTCCGGTCGACTATGGTACCAATCCATGCAAGTTTCGGTGTTGCCACATTTATGCTGGCTGTTGCCACGGCCGTTACTGGTTTAACACAAAAGGCTCATTTTGAATTGGGGTAAGATATAATATAAGAATCTACATTTTCCTGTTTTTAATTATAAACGTCTTATGCTATGTGCAGACTGGAGAGTAAAACATGTTATAAGGTTGATGTGATTTTTCTTTTTTTTTTTTTGAAATAATATTACTATAACATGTTATAACTGTAACATGAACGTACGGTATTCCGGATTCAATCGATTTTATCTTGTAAGCCAATCGAAAACTCTTTGCAAAATTTCCCAAGTGATGAATTGTTTTGCTCTTACACTCCACGTTCATGCTACGTGAAAAATCACGTAACCCCTAAAACATTCAGCTTCTATCATAGCTTAGTGTTTCACTTAGAATCTACGTGATTTTCCATAAATGTCAATAAAAATTCGTAACGTGATTGTCATGTCAGACGATTTAAAGTGAATTTCACGTAAATGGTAATTGATGTGCAAGTATGTATACAATGAGTGGTGATGCAACGTTGGTGTCAGTTTGTTGTGTTAAATTATTTTTTATTGAAATTTAAATAATTATTTGCAGGACAACTACAACGGTTTTGACTCGTTTCCTGTATGAATTATCATGTAAAATCATTAATATGTATGCAAGTCGTGTTTATAATCAATTTTGGTTTGTGTATTCGAAACATGCAAATATGCTATATTTGGGCATTTTGAGCGCTGCATTTTAAAACCTATTTAAAATAATGAAACTTATGATAGCATTTGGGAATGGGCTTAAAAATAATAATCACGTAACCTAAATATGGTACGCTTCATTCAATGAAAAGGGGATGAATCTACCATAGAATCACGTAGTTCATACGTGATGAAAGGTACACACTAAGAATATTTTACCGGAATCTGTGAAATACCGAAATCTCAACAACTGAACGTTCGGTAAACAGTTCGGTGATTTTTCACAGTTTTCCTGTAATTTTTCAACGAATATCTGTGAAAAATCACCGAACTGTTTACCGAACGTTCAGCTGTTGAGATTCCGGTAAAATTTCACAGATTTCGGTAAAATAATCTTAGTGTGTATGGACGAATGCTACTTATATTGTCACGTAACTCTGACGTGGTTTTTTTGGAGTGTACACTTTAGTTGAATCCCGCCAAAATCTCTACATGGTATTTCAAAACTACCCAAATTTGGGTAGAATCCACCCAGATCGGTCAAAACTGAACCTACCCAAAAATGGGTAAACTATGTTGGGAGTGACAAGTTGACAAATAAACAACATCGACATGAATCCAATCGACTTTGTTCGTTTGTCAACTTTTCGCTCCCAACATAGTTTACCCATTTTTAGGTAAGTTCAGTTTTGACCGGTCTTGCTGGATTCTACCCAAATTTGGGTAGTTTTGAAATAGCGTGTAAGCCAAAAGTGCTCGTGCCCGCATGACTGCAATAATATTTGTTTTCATTAATGCCAGAGTTTGTTTATTTTATTTGGACACCCAGCTGAGTTATCAAAACTATGCTGGTTGTTATGCTTTTTTCACTGAACCTGTTGGTTTCTAATGGTGAGCTTACTGTGTTATGAAAAAGTATGGTTCATTTCTATGAAATGATCGCCAATGAGAGATAAGAAGAGTAATCACATTTGTGTCTTCTGAATGTTTGAAAGTTCACATTACCTCCCGGTTGACAAGCATATTAACGATCCAATTGTATGTCACACCAGCCACTCGAAAAAAAATCACGTTGATCCTCCACGAGCTGTCCAGGGGTATCATTATGTAGATTGAAACGACAGAGTTTCTCATACAGACGTTCATACAAAAAAATGCTTCGTTTAGACTTCCACAATTAGGCTCTAGGACCAGCCATCAAACTTGTCGTCCTGTTTAAAGATTAAGCATACGGCATTTTTCATCCATTTATCCTGTAATATCCCCTCCTTCCAAATGTTGTACTTTTCCAAATCAGCGCTTTGCCGCCGTATATCAATAACGCACTTGGTACTTGGTCAACACCAGCTGCTTTTTTGTTGTTTTTTTCTTCAGCCGACCGATCTCCTCCTCAACTTCATGGAGATCAGCAATCCCAAATGCAACCACATGCTGAACCTTCCATTGTTCCCGAACAGCGGAGGTCGGACATAACCATTTACCATCAGAACGTTGGCGGTATGAACGGCCTCGTGGAAGATTATCATCTGGTCGTCGAGGATCACTGTTACGACATTTTAGTTTTGTTTGAAACATGGCTCAATTATCGAATCATTTCAAACTATGTCTTTGGTGCTGGCTACGAAATATTTCGCTGCGGTCAAATCACGAATAATAGTAGGAAAACTAATGGGTTTTCAGGTCAATCAACCGAAATAAATAAACTTAACACATTTAATTTCTTATGTTCGCAAGTAAGACAATTTTAATCGACATGTAGTTATTGTTGTAAATGAAAACAGAATGATGAATACCATGGGCGCACGCCAAAGTAGAGGCTGCGCACAGCAGGGACCGCACATAGTTTATGTACAGTAGCGGGTAGGAAATAGGTATCTCAACACCCTCGCTCAATTTCCGGAACCTACCAATCCTAAATTGTTCCGATGCTGCAAGAATAACTTTCTTGGTAATCCTTTGGTCATGATATCAGCTAGCTGACTGGAATATGGAACATACCGTACCAATATTTGCACTCGCTGAGTGAGTTCTCGTACGAAACGGGATTTGATGTCGATGTGTTTCAGTCTGCCAACATCTCGCTCATCCTCCACTACTCGAATAGTTGACTGATTATCCTCGAAGTAAACGATTGGTTCATCCAGCTTCAGTCCCAGTTCTCGCAACAGCCGTGTCAGCCAGATTCCATGGCACACAGTGACACACAATGCAATAAGCTCCGCTTCAGTGGACGATAGAGAAACCGTTGGTTGTTTCCTTGTCAACCAGCTGACCGTGTAACCGTGCACACGAAAAACATACCCCGTCAATGAACGTCTATCTGTGAGGTCATTTCCCCAGTCTGCGTCCGAATATGCTTCCACGACAGGTTCTCCATCGTCACCATCACGTTTCAGGTACACCCAGTGCTCTTCTGTTGGACAGCTCTGAAATTGGCTGAAGTAGTTCACTGCAGCACATAGGTCTGGTCGAGATGTTAACGTGACGTACATCAAGCACCCAACCAACTCGCGGAATGGTTTATCCGTACGCTTTGATTCTTCTCCTTTCTTCAGATGTAACCTGCATTCTATCCGAGGGGGGCGACACATCTAAATCTCAATTATAGATGCTCAACAAATCTCACACTAGCAAACCAATCTTCGAACAAATCTTCTTTCATTTCTCGCACCTACTTGCATCGCACATCATCTTCTTTCTATCTACTAAGCGTGCGCGCAGCTAATCACAGCAAAACACAATTTTTCCTGCATCGTAGATAGAGTCTCCCCCTCGATTCTATCGGCGTTGATACAGGCTTGCAATCACTCATGTTGAAACGATTCAATAGTCCTTCAAGAAAACTACGCTTACTTTTTATTTTTTTTCCTTTGGTTTGTTTTTTTTTTCCGTCGATCTTGTTTTCCGTGCTGAGCACCAATGCTACCGACGTGCCAGGAAGGCAGCTCCCACTCCTGGACCCTACTTATCGACCCATCAACTCATGAACCGGGGACCAACGGCTTTACTTCCCATCCGAAGGAAGGCGTGATCAGAGATGTTATGCCTCAGAACATCCCGGCGGCGCCGACTGGGATTGAATCCAGGCCTGCTGGGGTAAGAGGTAATCACGCTTACCACTACACCACCGGCGCCGTTAACTACGCTTACTTATAGCGAATTCGTTTATTATTCAGTTCCAAACTGGATCGGGTATCAGGATTGGGTCTGCTTGTTTTCTGACAAACGTCAGTTTGCTCGTTTGTTTTTAAAACCTAGCTCAGGTTGAGGTTCACACTGACAAAAAGTTCGGTTTCGCACTGGGTTGGAGCTGGTGTTAACCCCGGTAATAAACGAATTCGCTATTATTCTCCTAAACCGTTCTTAAACGTTTCGTTCTATCTTCATACCGAGAACTCTCTTGAAAGACACTGCTTCACTACCTGCACCAATTTTTCGCACTGATAGGATGTTCACTCTTGCCTTGGGAATATACAGTACATTTTTCAAAATAATCGGAATCGAGTTACCGTCCACTTGGGAGTAACGATAAACCGCACCGTGATGCTTTGCGACGATGCATTCCCCTTCCTTGGCCACAGCGATCTGTATCGGATTATTCATCGGCATCAGCTGCTTGAACAAACTCTTGTTGTTAGTCAAGTGCTCCGATGAACCTGAATCTACTATCCAGCTGACTTCACAATTGTTCGAGAATTTCCACACACTCACAAAACATACACCGTTTTCTTCTCCAAAATGAGAACTATTTTTCTTCGATTCCTGCGACTTTTTCTTAGCTGGGCACTCAGACAGCTTGTGACCCTCTTTCTGGCAGCCAAAACACTTGAACTTTTTCTTCTGCTGCTTATTCACCGGTTTTCTTCCACTAGCTCCAGAAAACGCAGCAGACTTACCAGCCGGGAAATTTGACTCAACACCAGCGCTATTCGGCATTTAACAAATTCAATCGTTAAAATTTCCTCCGACATGGTTTCTAGTGCCGTTACGACAGTCAAAAACACCGGCCCCAACGTCAGTAGCAGATGGCAAACCACATCAAGGTCAAAAACTCTTCTCAGCGCCAACCAAATTGCTTTCAGTGTTTGTTGATCCTGAACGTACTCCAGTTGATTGTCATGAATGCGTGAAATTAGCAACGATTTGCAGCGGCGATCCAGCTTCTTCTGAGCTTCGATTTTCTTCTACATCTCTGCAACGACAGCGGCAGTAGCACCCGCTCATACCTTCAGGTCAACCACCTCCGCAATTTCCCGATCGATGCAATCGGTCATATCGTGCTCCTTTAGCACAACCTGCATTCGGAATTTCCATGCCGGATAATTGGAACCGTTGAACATCGGAACCCGCACAAATTCTTTTTTTCCCATATTGTGACTAT